GATGAGCTGGAGTTTTGAAAAATAGAAAATTCCCGTGGATTGAGAAGTTGACCTTTTCTTTTTTATTGGTCCAAAAATAAGGTTATAACCTAAACCCACCTACTTTTAAAATTATTATAACAATTAAGAATATTTGACTTTTGTAACCGAGGTTAAAAATGAGGATATATAATATTAATGTATGTGATAAGTAATATTTTTTAAATCATTAAAAAAAATAATCCGACAACCCAATACATCGAGAAAATAGAAGATTGAGTTGGTTTGAGTTATGAACTCTAATTGGATTGTTCGAGTTACCAACCTAATCTATCGTAAAATTCAGTTAAATTTTACAGCGGATTAATAAAATTTTTGTTAAATTAAAAATTGTTCTTTTAATTTTTAAAAAAACAAGTTAAAAATTAAAAATTCCAAATTTTTTCCCATACATTAACTTTAATATTATATTTTCTAGGTACAATTTTTTTATTATATAATTATTGATTATTTGCTGTCATTTTTTTATATGATTTCTTCAATTTCGATAAAGAGTTACTTGAATACCAATAGAAAAATAAATAAATAATAATAGAAAAATAAATAAATAATAATAAAAGCTAAAAATAATAAAAATAAAATAAAAATAAAATTCTTTTTAGAATATTTCTTTGCTTGATTGTCACGGCAAGCCGCTGGAAAGATGACGCCTTTTTATTTTGCTAAATAACAAAAATTATAGTTTATTTTTATAATTGTTTTTATCTTCTAGTTTGATATGCTCCATTTCACCGTTGATATTTTAATTTATTATAAAAAATAAAAAAATCTAATGTTAAAATTAAAATAGAAAATTTTATTTAAATTTTATTTAATTTGATAATTATTTTAAGAAAAATTGTTAACGGGTAGTTTTTTTTAGAAAATTTTAAAGAATAGGAAGTATGGTTGATAATTGAAATTCGTTAGATAATAGCGTAGGCTAACAAAAATAATAAATAAAAACTATTTTCATTGTTAACTTTCATAACGTCTAAATATTTTAGAATATTTGGTGGAAAATTGTTGATACACTAGTCTAAATATTCTACGATATTTGGTGAAAAATCAACCTGAAACAATATCATGTTACTGACCTTTTTGGTGAAAAATTGACTTGAACAATATGATGTTATCATGTGTTCAGAGAATAAAATCCAAAATCAATATCATGTTATCAACTTTTTTTTGATGGAAAATCGACCTGAAACAATATTCATGTTATTGACCTGACACAATATGATGTTATCATGTTTTCAGAGAACATAATCCAAAAACAATATCATGTTATCGACGTGAAAAATCGACTTGAAACAATATCATATTATTATGTTTTCAGAGAATATAATCCAAGTAAAATTGGAGACTTTAATCTAGACTTACACTTAATCCAATATCACGTCTTCCGAGTAAAATTGGAGACTTTAATCAATACTTAGACTTAATCCAAGTAAGACTTAATTTCATCAAAACTAGTTATCCAAAGACATCAGATAATTTTCACTAAGACATAACACTTGAGAAAAAAATGTATTCACACTAAACTATATCATCGTTGGAAGCACCCTCTATTTGAATGTGAGAGAAGTTATCAAATAACATAGCGCCATGTGTCGGCCGCGGATTTCAGAAATCAATAGCTCCATACTATGTTTCTAGTATTTCTTCGGTTCTAAAGACAGGTCAGATATGCTGTCGATTAAGCTATCAAGTAAATCATCATTGAAATCTTTCACCACTCTGAAATTACTATCCTGTAAACGGACTGATTCAGTAGAATTTTCAGAGAGAGCTTTGTTCAGCTGCTCGACGAGATCGTTTTCGATCGGAGGAAGGTTCAAATCCCAGACCTGGAAAATGTCATTGATTGGAGGCTCAAATCCAATTTCTGGTAAATCATGGCTAGATTCAGTTTGAATACTCTCCTTTCCATCTACCTCCTCTTTGTATGTAGGTAGAAATGGATTCTTGTTAAAAGATAACGATAGAGAAGTATCGATGTCGTCGTGGTGTTGTTGATCTTCTGAAGCCATTCCTGTTTCATTCATACGATCATCGCTATCTTTCGAGAAAAATGTAGGCTTCTTCACATTATTAGAAAGAAGCATGTCGATGTCGATGTCGATGTCATCACTAGTACTTCCCGGAACATTATCCTCCTCTTTGTAAGTGGGTAAAAGTGGATTCGTGCTAAAAGACAACGAAAGAGAAGAATCGACATCGTTCATAGGATCATCGCTATCTCTTTCTGTTGGCTTCTTCACATTCTTAAACCGAAGCACGTCAACGTCGATGTCATCGTTAATACCTCCTGGAACAGTATCACTTACAGCAAGAGGAGATTCGAAACCTTGAGGATACAGATCGAGGACTTCTAACAAGGCATCCTTTATATGGTTCCAATTGCCATCTAAAATATCTGGTATGTCTTTAATCAGACAAGAATCAGCCCAAGCAATGTCTTCAGGAGTAAGATCATCGATTTGCTCCTTAGATTCTTGTCCACTTTCAAGATGAGAAGAATCAGATCCTTCTAACATGCTGTTCCATGCAACCATAAGTATACATTTGTCAGAAAGGATGAAAAAAATCTCACAGACCATCTCTTTTAACTACAAAACATTTAATGATGGTCCTGCTGCACAGTCAGTAGATAAAGAATGGTTCATGAAAGGGTGTGAATATATTCCATTCCGAGTGCATCAAGTAAGTAAAGACATGATAAGGGCGAGGGGGAGGAAGAAGGTAGGGCCTAAATTCCAAGAAGTAGAAGGGAAATATGAAGAACAGGTTCATTAATGATCGCCTTCTCTAGGTGAACAGGCAGAAAATGAATCAAAACAAGATATTAGGACAAATTCCACAAGCTTAAGCGATATCCCAATGGGTATGTATACATTTATTAGAAATGCTTTAACCTTTAATGACTGGAAATAAATTACTAAAACCATTATTTTCAACTAAAAGTAACTCTACTACCAGTTTCAGTTCACAAAAACGAGCCAGATCCTAGTGTTTTGTAAATTGCAATATCTTTTAGGTCAATATAGAAAAGCTCGGTTGCAAATGGGTTAGTATAATATTGTCCACTTTGAGCATAATATCTCATGGTTTTACTTTGGGTTTCCCGAAAAGACCTCATACCAATGGAGATAGTGTTCCTTACTTATAAACTTATGATCTTCCCCTTAACTCCTCTCCCAATAATCCTCAAGAATCCTAAAAAATCCTCCCCTTGAACAAACTAAGTCATAGAGCCTCCCCTGAGGCCTATGGAGCCCTCAAACAGCCTCCCCTGAGTCGAGGCTCGACTCCTTCTCTGGAGTCCTCGAACAAAGTACACCCTTTGTTCGACATTTGAGTCATTTTTTATTACACCTTCGAGGCTCAAAACTTCTTTGTTCAACACTTGAGGATTCTATTGACATGGTTAAGTTAAGAGCATGACTCTAATCCTATGGTATGATATCACGAACCTCCACAATGGTATAATATTGTCCACTTTGAGGATAAGCTCTCGTGGCTTTGCTTTTAGTTTCGAACCTCCACAATGGTATAATATTGTCCACTTTGAGGATAAGCTCTCGTGGCTTTGCTTTTAGTTTCTCCAAAACACATTGGTATAATATTGTCCACTTTGAGGATAAGCTCTCGTGGCTTTGCTTTTAGTTTCTCCAAAACACATCAACACTTAAAGGATTCTATTGACATGGTTAAGTTAAGAGCATGACTCTAATCCTATGGTATGATATCACGAACCTCCACAATGGTATAATATTGTCCACTTTGAGGATAAGCTCTCGTGGCTTTGCTTTTAGTTTCTCCAAAACACATCAACACTTAAAGGATTCTATTGACATGGTTAAGTTAAGAGCATGACTCTAATCCTATGGTATGATATCACGAACCTCCACAATGGTATAATATTGTCCACTTTGAGGATAAGCTCTCGTGGCTTTGCTTTTAGTTTCTCCAAAACACATTATACCAATGGAGACAATGTTCCTGACTTATGAACCCCTGATCTTCCCCTTAACTCCTCTCCCAACAATCCTCGACACAAACCATTCAAAACTTAACTACATCACTCTTGTCTCCCTCCAAACGAATAATATATGCCCTACGGTCTCCATGTCTGTCAATTTCAATTTCATCGGCCAACCTCAGCCCTTGTCCTCTCCTCTTTATTTTTAATCTGAATACTGTAAGCCTCCACAAAGAAAAAATCACAAACGTTTCTATGAACAGAAATCAACGCAGCAAATCAAATAATTATACTTCCGACTTCTTAAAATTTCAAAAACACAATGAATTCTCGTAAAATTAACATAAGAAACTAGCAAGTGACTGTAAAATCCAACAAATAATCCACAGATGGCGTGAACGAGATAGATGAACTGTAAATGAATCAATCATGACAGCAATGTGTGGATAGAGAAAGAGAGATAAAAGGAAAGGGATCGGAGAACCAACCTCATATAATTGAAACCCTAAAAAAATTGACTCGAAGAGGGATTGCTTGCTGTGACCAGAAGAGAACGAGACGGCAGTAGAAAGACTCCCGATAAAGCGGTGGCCGGTCGTCCCTCCTCCCTCAAAAATACACTTTATAAACAATTAAAAAACTTAATATAAATATTTATATTTATATTAAAAAAATAAATTAGTTAATTTGAGAATCTAATTATAATATATATATATATATATATTAATTTTAAAAAATTATGTTGGTATAATATATATGTTTATTAATGAAAAATATTGATTTATTATGATTTATTTTTATAATTTTTTAATAAATATTATATTAAAAAAATAAAAAATTTAAAATAAATATTTTTTTTTTTAAAGAATAATAAATGAAAAAAATTACCCACGACGAATTTTATGGAATTAGGCCCAAAAGGCTGAAGCAAGGCCCATAATATTAATGGGCTTTATTAGTTGCCAAATCTAGGCCCAATTGTGCCTCCCATCTTTACGATCCGGATATGCATCTTTTCGTCGTCTTCACGTCACAAATCTTCGTTCTCGAGCGGCTGTTCTTCCGCGAATCGTCTCTCAGTTGCAGCTTCGTTCGTAATTTAACATCTTCAACGATTTGAGCTACGGCAATATTGGCCACAAGCACAGAGCCATTGACATTAGGTTCGTTTCTCTTTCATTCTTGATTCACAGTTTTGTTTTGTTGTCTCATTGCATTTCTAGGGCTAGAGGCTTAGGGTTCATTGTTTTTTTCTGTAGTTCATGTAGACACTTATTCTACACCATTGGAATGAATCTTATTTTTTTTTTTGTATGAATCTTGTTTTCGCGATTTCCCGATGCATTATGTTGCCTCTGCATCATTCTTCGGGTTTGTGAACAGATAAGGGGTGAAGTGGTTTATAAGTTCCAGCGCTGTAGATTACATGAATATTTTCTCTCTCCCAGTATGATGTGACGCCAACCGATCACGTCTGAATAGATCTCATGATTTGTGGCAGTTGTAGTTATTATTGGTGTTAGGTATGGTAATTAGTTCGCCGTGTTAGCTTTGTTCGTTCTTATTAGAAAAATATCTATCCAGCTTATGTCAATGTCGTTTCTAACATTATGTTGGAATGGGCTAATTACGGGACTAAGGTTGATAACTGTAACGGTTGCCCTAATGGACTCTATAAATTTCACTGCAAAAATAGTAACTAGTGGAAGGGCCGCTTCTAAAATGACAACTCGTGGGATCATCAGTTGTAAACTGTGGCAATTATAAAGGTTTTGATATTAATAATTTAATGGTAATAATAGTGAAAGAAGTTGATGAAGCAATCTGGAATGTGAAATTTATTGGACGTTGTTTGTGGATGATCCACTACTGAGTTAATTCTTTGCTTGGTGATGTGTTGGTGATATTCACTGTTTACGAGCCATACTTGAAATTGCGAGAAGAATGTAGTTGAAGAATTGGATAATTATTCTTGGATGTTGGGGGGATGTGGTATTTACTTTGTTGGAATTATTGCTTTGTTGAATGGGATGAGCACTTGGTGTTTTCTGTTTGAAGGGAAGGAAAGAGTTTGGTTTGGATTCGTCGATATGAATTTGGGTGTGTGGTTGTTATGTGGACAGGGAGGAGGCAGCATTGGTGTAATATTTTGGTGGTGGTGATATTTTCACATTTCAGCGGGGATAAGTGTTGAAGAATAAGTTTGGAAATGAGTTCGGATAGCAGGAGTCGAAGCAGGAGCAGGAGCAGGAGCCCAGTGGCTCGTAAGATCCGGTCTGATCGTTTTTCATATCGTGATGCACCATACAGGAGAGAATCACGTCGGGGTTTCAGGTTTATTATTCTGATAAATTATTTATTTCTCTCATATCTGATATGTAGGCTGGGGTAGAACCTGCAGATGTATGAGTTTTTTTAATGCAGTCATGTTATTTTTGCAATCTATTTCTGGCTGTGGAGCTATCTCCCCCCTGTTTAGATTGGGTATATTTCATTCAACCATCGATTAATATCTTCTCTTCTCAATTCATACACAGATACACATGCACACACATGGTCATGGAGTCATATCTCATGTTTTAAAGGAATTATATGTAACTATTGCATGATTGTGCTATGCTGGTTCTAAACGTTTGTCATTGATCAAGTTGACAAATCTCTGCATTAATCATGCTTGAGCAGACATGGAAGTCTCCTATACAGCTGCAATGGATATAATATCCATGTTATACTAATTGTATTGTAGTAGTATTTGATGCTGATGTTTCTGTTTTTGGCATGATTATTTGTATGAAAAAACGTTGTGGTTTTATCATGGTTTAGTTTTGTTATTTGTGAGATGAGCTTTCAAGGGTGAAATTCATATTGCAACTTTTCTATTAATGGTTTGTTATAAGATTATAAACTGCTTTCTTCATGGATCCTTTTGTTCCGGCTATGAGCTGGTGGGAAAAGCTGAAAACTTGGGGATGTTTTACTGTTCAAGGTCAGAGTCGAGTATTGATTAGTTAGGATAATGTCTGCGTGTTGACTGTGTGTTCATCAATGTAAATGGGAACACTTTTGACTTGTTTACTCCCTAAAACTCCATTTCATATATATATATATATATATGGGGGAGTTACTATTGTGGAGGGAGCTTATAATGTTGTGGGTGAACCTTTCTTTTTAATTTCTTCATTATGTTTATCTTTCATTTTCTCCTTGTTTGACATGAAGCTGTAATCTTAATCTGATTTTGTCTCCAGTCGAGACAATCTTTGCAAGAACTGCAAACGTCCTGGCCACTTTGCAAGAGAATGCCCTAATGTGGCAATTTGTCACAACTGTGGTCTCCCTGGGTAAGGGAACTTGATCTTATGCTTATTGCCTTTGCCGCTTATTTGGATACATTTTATTGTGAGAATCTTCGTTTTGTACTAAACTAAGGGCTTGTTTGGATTACTCTCCAGTTTAAGCACGGTTTTAAAAACTATATTCAATGTAATGTTTGTTTATTTATTTATTATTATTATTTTTTTTTTTGCATTCTGTTAATTAGAAATGTGTTTTTTTGCTACATATTTTGTAGATTTTCCTTTAATCATTTATAAAACAGTTTTGGACAATCTATCTACGGTGTTTCTTCAATCTATCTTTAAATTGTTCCAACTTTTTAAGTGATTGTTATTTATTATGTGATTGTGATTGTGATTGTTTTAGAAATGCCTCAACTTTTTTTAAGTGATTGTGATGATATAAAATCAAACAATAAGCTATGCTTGACATGTTTAAAATGATTACTTTTCAAAGGTACTTAAAGAATAGTTGAGTTAATCCAAATATACGTTAAATATTCACGATTCTACTTATTTTCTGGCATTGCAAATGGTGGGTTGTTATTTTCAATTCTACTTGACATTAAATTTACGGATTTGGTCCCATGCTATCATGCCATTGGCGTGGAGTATTCAATCTTTGTAGCCTCTAATCAACAGTTTCACCAATCTTAATTCAGAATTTGAGATTTGAAGTTGACTCGTTGGGAGATACAATTGAAGCAGTTGTTCTGTCATTGAATCTAATTATAGTTTGCTTACATTTGATAGAACAATGACACTCGTTTATGTTTATAGCTTACTTTTCTATGTATAAATTTGTGATACTGCATCTAGGCATATTGCTTCAGAGTGTACAACAAAGTCACTATGCTGGAATTGTCGTGAACCTGGTCATGTTGCAAGTAGCTGTTCAAATGAAGGTATCTGCCACACCTGCGGGAAGGCAGGACATCGAGCCAGGGAATGCACAGCTCCTCCGCTGCCACCCGGGGACTTGAGGCTTTGCAACAATTGCTACAAGCAGGGTCATATAGCAGCTGATTGTACTAATGAAAAGGCATGCAACAATTGCAGGAAGACAGGCCATCTTGCTCGCGATTGTCCAAATGACCCTATTTGCAACCTGTGCAATGTATCTGGGCACGTAGCCAGACAGTGTCCGAAATCCAATGTTCTCGGAGAACGGGGAGACCGAGGCATCGGCAGTGGCGGTGGCAGTATACGTGGTGGTGGTGGTGGTGGTTACCGGGATGTTGTGTGCAGGACCTGCCAGCAGCTTGGCCATATGAGTAGAGATTGCATGAGCCCTTTGATGATTTGCCATAACTGTGGGGGACGTGGTCACCTAGCATACGAATGCCCATCGGGTCGGTTTATGGAGCGTTATCCCAGGAGGTACTGAAGACGTGATTAGAAGGAGGCCTTCGGATTTTGCTTCGAGTTTAGACATTTTGGGTACTAAACTCTATAGATTGCTCTGCTCTGCTTGCTGCTTACATGGTGGTAGTATTTGCTCATGTTGTTACCAAACATTGTTTTGTGGGTTAGACCATGAATTTTTAGTATTGTTTATCTTGCTTCTTCTATATATAATAAGACTTCCTTTCAATGATTCATCAGTTTAGTTTGTTCATTTCACCCTTAACGAAATTTCCTTGTAAAGTATGAACTTTGACTCGCTTGTTATCAACGACGTTGTGAGTTGTGCTCATATCGGGTTATTCGACCTACTTTGCATTAATAGAAAACAATAGTGTTATCAAATGAGGCGTACTTATAATTAATGTCTTTAGAACTATAGCACAGTCAATTTAAAGATTGTGCACAAATTAATAAAAATAATAAAAATACCACTGAACTTCTTAGAGTTTCAATAATATTTTTACACGTTAAAAAAAGAAAAAAAAATATCAATTAAACTTTAAATTTTCTTATTAATACCATTTAACTTTTTTAAAAAAATACTCTTACCATCTATGTAATTTTAAAAAATAGTATCAACACATACATTTATTCAATAAAAAGTTTTTATCATGAAGCAAATCATCTTTCTCTTTCACTTTAAGGGTACTAACCGTCAAAACTTTTTACATTCTTATTCTAAAAATTTAAGAGTATTAATGTTACTTTTGAAAGTTCACAAGTATTTTAAAAAAATGTGGTACTATCGATTTCATCCTGTACACTTTACAAAAATATATTTTTTTTTAATTAATAAAAAAGAGTAACAATATTAATGAAAATTTTGAAAGATTAGGGGTATTTGTAAAAAGTTTTAAAATATTTTAAAACAAAGTAAATATTTTTTTTCTTTAAAATTTAAGGGTATTAGGTATTTTTTACATAAAATGCAAAATTTGAACGTATTTTTTTTATTAATAAAACATATCTATAACATAAAACATGTCTCAACTTTTCTAAAATTTAAGTTAAAAAAATTTCATTAATCTCTAAAAATAAATTATTAAAAAATTGAGCCAAATTTTAAAAACAACAATAAGTTTTTATTTTATTTTTAATTTTCAAAACCTTTTAGAGGTAAGAACAAAGATATTAAAAATTTGAGGGACATGTTTTCTTACCTAATTTGTTTTTATTAATCTTTTTTTCTTATCATTATATATTAAAAAATATTCATTTCAAATATTTTTTAACCAACAATTTTCAATATAATTTGTATTAAAAAAAATATAAACACATCATAATAAATCAAAATATAGTATAATATTCAACATAATTTCTAAAAATTCAAATTTTAATATGAAAGTAAGCGCGAGATAGAGATTTTAGCTAATATGAAGAAATTTCTCGCCGTATGACCCTTAAATAGATATTCGTAGGCGTAAATAATATTTATAAGATTAATTTATTAAAAAAAACTGAAATCACCGTAAAAAAAAAATTAATATAAAGCGAGAAAATAATAGAAAATAAGTTTTTTTTTTGTTTATTTTAATTTAAATTTAAGATCATAATTCAAAATTGATAGGCCTAGACGTTCTAATAGTTAAGGTTGTGACAATGGCATATGTAATTATTATAATTTTATTGGCTATTTATTATTTGTTCACAAAACAACAAAAAAAAATTAAAAATTTAAAAATTTAAAAATTAAAAAAAAAAAAAAAAAAAAAAAAGTCAAATTATAAAAAACAAAGAAATCATCGAAGAGAGGGAGGAGCTGAGCGAAACTCAATTTTTTTCTGCAAACGCTCTATTTGTACCGTAAAAATCTAGTCAGAGGGGGAAGTGGATCTTAAAACCCTAGGGTTTCAATTCCGGGCCATCCTAATTTTTAATCCCAACTTTGTTTCTAAATGGAAGCCGAAGAGAACGATTCCTCCAAACATGACCAACCATCATCACCTCTTCTCTCCGTTGATGATGGCAACGACTTGGATGTTAAGTGTCACACCTATCGGGAGCTTCACAGCAATGAAGAACAGCATTGTTTGTTCCAGTCCGCCATTAATGAACTGGAGTTTCCATCCAATTCTAGCGTTGAATCTTTGCAGTCGAGCGATGCAATTCGTGGGGATGAGAGTCTTGTTGCAGAGACTTGTTTGGAGGTGGAGAAGAAGGATATGGTGGAGGAGACAGAGATAGCCGGGGTTAAGGCTTGTCGTAACGGTATTGAGGATATGGGGGAAGATTCAGTGAAGTTGGAGGTTGAACCGGATATTGCGGCGATGGGGTTATTGGGGGAAACGGTTTTCAATGATGTCAAAGAGGAGGATGCAGGGGCGGAGGAGGTGAAGGCTGTTGCTGAATTTGGAGAAGGTGACTTGTTATGTGAAATGGATTTGGTTGGTGGTGCTGAAAATCAGGTTGAGGGCAACGTTTTGATGGTGAATCTTCCAGACAATACTGTTGGCTGCGGTGAGACAGACACATGCTTGAGTGATGTTTTGGCTGAGCTTGCAGAAACGACTCCTTTTGTGCATGGTGTAGATACTACTGATGCAGCCAATTTGGTGGAGAAGAAAGAGGTGGAAGAACATGCCGATGATCCTAAAGATTCGAAGGATATAGAGGTGGCAAAGCAAGAAACTTTTTCTATGGAGGATGGGAAATTACGCGTCCCGGTGCAGCTTGTGGAGAAGTCCGAGTTGAAAGAAAGTTTGGTAGATGGGGCTGTGGTGGAGGAAGGAAGGACGGAGAATTTAGCTGACAGAACTGGTGAAACTTTGAAGATGGAGAATGAGTCAAGCAATACTGATGAGGTGGGGCTGGCGAATTTTTCTGGTGAGATTGATGGGGCGGTAACTATGGAGAATACTGAAGACAAGACTGTTGAGGTGGATGGAATGTGTTTGGAAGACAAGGCTGCTGATGTGACGACGACGATGGGAAATTTGGCAGATGAGACCCCGGAGATCAAGGGAGTGCACGTAACAGACGACAGCATTGAAATGTTGAAGATTGAGAACGTTGAAGATAGGGAAGCAGGGGTGCAAGGATTGGGTGTGGCTGATGAGAGTGCCGAGGTTGGAAAGATTGAGAATTTGGTAGATGAGACTGCAGGGGCTGAGAATGTGACAAACTACACAGCCGAATCAATGGAGAATCTGGACGACAAGACTGCACAATTGGAGGAAATAGCTATGGAAGAAGAGACTGAGGAAGCAGATGACAGGGTTTATTTGGTGGATGAAGGGATTGGATCAGAGGAGAATGATGCAAACATGACATACTTGGTGGGGGAAACAGAAGCAGCGGAGGAGGTTGAGGAGATGGATGTTACAGAGGAGGTTGATGAGGCAAGTAAAGGTAGCAGTGGGGCTAAAAGGAAGCGTGGAAAGAATTCCAAAGCTCCAGCTCGAGTGCCTTCTAGGAAGAAGGTGGAAGAAGACGTTTGCTTTATTTGTTTTGATGGGGGTGACCTTGTACTCTGTGATCGCAGGTTAGTTTTTCATGGGCATCCTAAACCATCTTTTTATTAAGATTTTATGTTGATCTTTTTTCTCTTGGTTCCAGAGGCTGTCCCAAGGCGTACCACCCTTCCTGTATTAATCGTGATGAGGCGTTCTTCCGAGCCAAGGGTCGATGGAATTGTGGTAATGTGCTGTCTTATATTACATATTCTGAGTAATTCATTTTTCCTACATGGATATTAGCCTTTTTTAGCGTGTGTTTCTGATGTTTTCTTGTTCTTTTGGACCAAGATAAGAATGTTTTTTTGGGTGAAAAAGTTATTTCCACTTTCCTGATAAATTGCTTGTACCTTACTTTTATCCGGCCAGAATCTTTTATGATCTCATTCAATTCCGTTGTGTTACATGGTGAAACCGAAAGCCACTATTTGGTTGTTGTGGGTGGAAAGGAATTAAGGGGTTTTTCCTTTTGTTTTTGTAAGGGTCATCGATAATTATCTTATTTTTTAGAGGGTTTTGTTTCTCGACCTTCATCGTGGTGTTCCTTGGGGATTTCTCGTTCTTTATTATTTTCTTTCTTTTCTGTAATGATTCCCTTTCACAAATTGAGTAACTTGTGAGTATTTTTTCTAAAATGTTTATGAAAAGGAAGTCTTTGCATCCAGACTTCTTGTCCTTTGCTTTTACAAAGATCTATGTGCAGATGGCTGCAGATTATTATCATGTAGATTTTAACATCCAAATGACGTGCACTACGGTGTTTTGGAATCAGGAATCATATCGATTCAGTTTTCCTCGTTTGTCGGTGTCAGTCTGGAGTTTAAGCTGCAGCAGCTTCCCTCTGAATAAAAAAAGGATGGAGAGTGAAGTTTCAGTCGCTCTACATTGGACTATATATGCATATTGAAAATGTTGGAGGCTTAGTTGTTTATAAAATTGTACTATGGAAGTGGAAATAGTTGTCAAATATTTCAATGATAGGACACAAGAAAATAAGTTTTATTAAGAATAATGGGACTCCAAAAATTAAGGGATATCCTTTCTTTTTAATTCTTAACAATTGGAGTCTCTTGTACTATCTTCTTCTGAGACTCCTTTTGTTTGTTACATGCCTATTCCACCAATTAGTAACCCAAGATTCTAGGCTTTTATTTCTAATTTTTTTGAATGATATTCAAGAAAAGAGTATTATAAAAAAAGTTAGAGAATTAGAGGAACTCTTTCTCTTGGACGAAATGTTAAAGGAATACCCAAAAACACATCTACAAAAGCTTCGTATCGGAATTTACAAAGAAACGATCCAATTGATCAAGATGCACAATGAGGACCGTATCCATACGATTTTGCACTTCTCGACAAATATAATCTGTTTCATTATTCTAAGTGGTTATTCTATTCTTGGTAATGAAGAGCTTGTTATTCTTAACTCTTGGGTTCAAGAGTTCCTAACGTTTCTAGTTAGAGACCAACGTCTTGGAGCTAACATTGGATCCGCTCAAGGACCTACTGGTTTAGGTAAATATCTAATGCGTTCTCCGACAGGAGAAGTCATTTTTGGGGGAGAGACTATGCGTTTTTGGGATCTGCGTGCTCCTTGGTTAGAACCACTAAGGGGTCCTAATGGTTTGGACTTGGAGTAGGCTGAAAAAAGATCTAGAGGGTTGAAATGTGCAAAACTAAACCAGCTTCAAAGATGACCCTTTGTGCCTTTAGAGAACGTCATGTTTCTCGCAAACCAAAAATTTCAACGAGTACCAAACAACAGTCTGCCAAAGGATTCTTGCTCTTATCTTAAAATGCGTGTTCAATATAACTTCATCGCTGAAAATAGTGCAAT